GAAAAATTCCACCCTTACCTTTTCACAATTAGAAAGGTTATAAATAATGTATTTGGCTGAAAAGGAAGCTCAGCCTGTGGCAGATGGTATCATTCTAGAGTACTGGGGTTTCTGTGAAGATGGCATTCTTTCAGATCGGAACTTCAGCAGACTCTCAGAAAGAACCGAAGCTCTTCATAGGGAGCAGACATGTGCTTTATGGATCTTAGAAAAGCTTACAACTTGGCTCCTAGGATGAGAATATTGTGTCACACTGGGGTTATGAGACCCACAGCCAATTTCTGCCAACTTTCAAATTGCGTTTCCCAACACTGGAAGCTGTGGCCTATTCCTTGGCTGGTGTACTGTGTAGCATTTGAACTTGAGATTTGAGCTGCCTGAGTTTGGTCCGCTTGATTGTTTTATTCCCTGACCATCGGTGGTCTACACAGACCGGCCGCTGAGTAGGAAAACTTGCGATACAACTTGTGCCTTTTTCAAAGTGCTTTGGAGAGCTTGTATAAATAGACACCGAGAGAGAGAACTGGAATAACATAACCACCAAGCACTGCGACTTCCGAGACATCTGTGTGGATGTATTTTGAAAAACCTGGGAAGGGATCTCTTGCAAATTAATGAACAAAGTTTCTTTAAACTATGAGTCCTATCATGACAGCTAAAAATGATGCATCTGAAAAGATTCATGGGACAAGCTGCCATTACCTTTGACCCTTAGGAGCAAAAAAAAAAAAAAAAAATTGTTTCTGGTAGCTTCCAGTAACGGCTAATTCAGTGATCTTTGATCCTTTGATTGATCAGCTAATATATGCCCAGCCCCGTTGTGAGTCCAGGCCTTTCAGACATGCAACCCCAAGACTGACAGCAGCAGGAAGAATGGTGGGAAGGTGCCATGTGCTGGATCTACACCAAGTCAGGAAAGGCTTTGCAGAAGCAAGGGTGCCTGAACTGTGTCCTGAAGAATGAGCTGCTGTTAGCTAGAGAGGAGAGAGGGCACAGCTCGAAAATCCAAGTCAGAGAAGCGGTAGATGTCTTCCTGATACCTGCTTCTGGGTACAGGCCAGCTTCACAAAGATACTGCCAGATTGGAATATTGAAACAAATGGTGGAAATACTTTTTTTTCCCGGGGTGTGTTCTCTTGTTATCCCTTGACCCGAGTTAATAAATTTAATTAGTCTACTCTGTTCTTCGGAAGAAAATTTGACATAAAATAACAACATTTGAAAATTTTATCTGATGCTCTTCTGTTATTTAAAGCATAGTCTTTGGACTGATCTGAAATGTGATCATATAATAAAAGCCAGTGAGGAGGAGGCAGAGGGTTGTCATAGTAATTAACGTATCTTGAAGTCCATACTTGGTCTGTTCCCGGCTCTGTGCTAAGAGAACCATATTTATCTTATTTATTGTCTGTGTAAGTGTGGATAGTATGTCTCTTCGGGTCATTATTTTTCTAGGAACTTGCCTAGTGCTTGGCACCTAGTAGGAGTTCAGTAGATAACATGCTGAATGAATGGGAAAAAAATGCCTGAATGAATGGATTCTCAGAACAAGCCTGTGAAGTGAGTGTTGCTGTGATTCCCATCTAGTAAGGGGGATTATGATAGAATGAGTGGCCAGTTAATGTGACCAAGGTCACACTGCCTCTGTGCGACACATTTTGGACTTGAATGCAGATTTAGCTATTCTCTTTCATCAAATGAATATTTAGTGTGTATTTAGTATATGCCAGACATTTGGGGCTGGACAATAATATAGAGCCCCAGAGCTGCGTAAAGTACAACTTAGTATAATCTTTTTAAACCAAAGGCTTTTTTTTTTTTTTTATCAACATAAGAATCCCAAGCCTCTTTCAAAATGTGGATCTTGATCTGCCTACCCCCTGCATATCCCCATCCCCTAGGCAGATAGTACCAACCTTGGCTTTGTTATATGTGTTCTCCAAATAATTGGTGTTTCTTTATGATTTTCTAAATTTAAGAACCAGTACTGAATATAATCTTTCTTTTTTTTTTAATGCTTATTTTTGAGAGAGAGAGAGACAGAGCGCGAGCAGGGAAGGGGCAGAGAGAGAGAGAAGGAGACACAGAATCTGAAGCAGGTTCCAGGCTCTGAGCTGTCAGCACAGAGCCCGATGCAGGGTTCAAATTCACAAACTGTGAGATCATGACCTGAGCTGAGATCATGACATGGCCCAACTGACAGCCACCCAGGTGCCCCTAAATATGATCTTTCAAATGCCATGTGACCCACAAGATTCTGAAATCTCTTTCTTGCCCTCAAAATTCATGGTCTGATGCCACAGCTAAGTCTCCCAATAGGGATTTTACCACATGGAAAAAAAAAAAAATCCTGACGCAGTGGTACTTGAGCAATTTAGTTGTACAGATTACTACATATTGTTCTAATAAAAATAGAGGTCACCTCAAGTTACCTGAATTATGGAATATTCCCCAGCCCCCTGAAAGCACAGAAAGAATTTAAAAAGTGGCTTTGACATGTGTCATAACCTGTGGATTAGCCTTTTCATTTACATCTTGCTTAGGCTAATATTTACATTAATCAGAGTTTTTTAAGCACACATCACTTGACAGAGTAGAAAACATCCAGAAAGTCACTTAAGGACAGAGCCTACCGAATGGGGTTAAACAAGGGCAGGAAGAAGCTTTGATGATCATGCACATATGGATATTATTTTCCACATATGGATAATAATGAACTACATAGCACTATTACACATGGGCTCTAATTTTATAAAAATATTTCAGATGGGTTGTCTTACCACGTACCGTGTATTCTTCCTTTTGTCCCCCCATATACTTTCCACTGTTGGTCTGCTAAATCACATTAAATTAAAGTAATCTGTTTATGTATCTGTCTTCCTAACAGATGGTAAACTTCTAGGCAGAGGCTGTGTCTTATCTGCCTTTGTGTCTCTAGTATCAGCTAGACACATAGTAGGTGTGCGGCAAAGAACAAATTTCATGTATAGAACTGTCGGCAAACTGAAATAGACTGAGTGTCAGAAACCTCAGCGAAATTGAGATATTCCCATACGTTTCTGAAAACTAAGGCATAAACTACATCTACAACTTGTATGTACTATTACATTGACATTTAAGAAACTGCCAGAATGTCTAGGAACAAGAGTAATAATTTTTTAAAAATTGGACCAAAGTTGAAGAGCATCAACTGTCATCCATTTGCAGAATCACCATTATCCATCAGCGATCTGAATAGTTTTATTAGTGTCTGACTTTATTGATCCATTATTACAATAGAGTAAGTGTGATTGAAGCTGACGGATTGTTAACTGGATCAGGTAATCTTCTGGCTCTGGTTTTGGCAACCTTGCTAAGTATCTTTTTGTACTCTGGACTGAGGGAGGCTCTTAGTAGAATTGCAAGCTACTGGATTAATGGCAGAGAATCACGAGCACATTAAGAATGTCTTTTTAGAGAAATAAAATGTAAAAATGACTATAAAGTAGAAAGTGTCCAAAAAAAAAAAAAAAAAAAAAAAAGCTATCACGGTGCCTCTTACGAAAGCCGTGTTTTACACAAATAATACAACTCTGGCTTATTTTTCACTGGAAGTTCTTTAAAGAGCCCCAAGAGTTAGATATTGCAGGAACTTGTGCATGTTACAAAATTAACACTGTATGGATGTCAGGAGAATCAAGAGTCACCAAAAAAACTTTAAATTAGAAGTAGCTTAAAGAAGATAATGATATAAAAATATTTTGTCCCCAAACTGGCTTTTCTGGTTGTTGCCTGCCTCCCAAACAATGCTGCCTTCTGTAAACTATTTCACCATAGACCAACTGAAGTCTGAAATGTAAGTTCTCATGTTTCTACACATAGGAGTAGAGGAAGGATTGGTGGTACAAGTCTAATTATTCCTAAAATGCAGCTGGAAATTAATTGAGCTGCTACTAGGTAATAAGGGCATTAGGGTTAAAAAGAACAACAAATTAAGGTACTGAAATTACCATAACCGAAATTTGCTGGGAAGAAAACACGTTTGTTTCTTGGAGATGAATTAAAAAAAAAAAAAAAAAAAGAACACCCAAAACTTCAAAATCATGGTCATTCCTCTCTTTATTTTTATCATGTTAAACCATTGATTCCGTCTTCAGGGTTTTTGTTAAAAGCAGAGTGAAGACAAGTGACAAAATAGGTCATTTTCTTTTCTGTGGTATCCTTGAGAAATTGAGTAGGCATGAAATGTGTATCTTTTAAAATTTTACGGTTAGTTTGGAATTCAAAATTCAGCTTTACTGTAGATGAAGCTAGCGATGAGATTGTAGAACGTTTCTTTCTCTAAATAGAGGGGCCCCGTGAATAGTGTATTTTTTTCCCCTCAGTGTGGTCCGTTCACCTCTGAAGAACGTTAGCGTAGTTCATGCACCTCCAGCTAAAACCCAAATAATGGTAGAAAGTACAAGTAGTATTTCCCAAACTTTATGCACACTCAAATCCCTTGGGGATCTTGGTAAACTGCAAGTGCTCATTGGCTGTGTCTGGGGTAGGGCCCAAGATTATGCATTTCTAATAGACTTCCAGGTGATGCTAATATTGCTGGTCCCTGGGCCACACTTTGAGCAGCAACGATGTGTAGTCACTTAACCTCAAAGTAGTGTTTACTTACGAATTGCAGTCATAAAGTCATCTTCACGTATTGGGATTTATGGAGATGAGTGTAAGTTTGTCAGCCTAAGAATAGATGGCAGTGATGGAGGTTCCATGAGTACTAGAGCAAAGTCTGTTGGTTTGATGGCTTTATACTGGTCTCAGGGGGCTGTTGCTTTCTACTTAAATAAGCGTTCGATGTGCTACTTAATGAATTTTAAGAAGTTGAGGCTTTAGGCCAAAGCATGAAACAAAAATGTATTGGTACTCAGTTGATTTAAAAAAAAATGCCGTTTACACAATTGAAATGATTTTTGTGTTCCATCTTGTGCCGATATGTATTACAAATGTTTTCCCCCCTCTTCATGCAGAGTATGATTTCTTCCATTGTGAACAGCACTTACTATGCAAATGTCTCAGCAGCAAAATGTCAAGAATTTGGAAGGTGGTACAAACATTTCAAGAAGACAAAAGATATGATGGGTAAGCAAAAAACTGTTGCAGTGGTGACTACATGCCATTATGTGTCATTTGGGGGTTTATCAAAGTCACATCTAAAGCCAGGTCTTGTGATTGCCCAATTAGAGATCAATTTAGAATGTTTCTTTGAGGGTGGGGAGTGGGTATGAGTATAATGAGATAATTAAATTCAATAAATGTTTGTGTTTAAATCAGCCAAACTGACTTGGTTGTCAGACATGCAGGAAATCGAGGCGGGAGGAGGGAAGCTGTCATTTCTTAACATCTCAGTGAAGACCTAACCAGGCCTTGAATAACTAATATTAGCTGTGATTTCGCTCAGAGATAAATCATGCTTTTATGTGTTTTGTTTTTGTTTGAGAGGAAGAGAAAGCGCCTATTTTTACACCCAATTTTTAAGGAAATTAAATTGTATTTATAGTTTCCACAGTTGAGATCAAGTGAATTTTATAGCTCTGATCCCCAGCCCTTCTAGATGGGCACTTCGGTGAGCTTCACCGCCCTGATAGCAGACACATCATTGTACCATTTCTCAACTTTTAATTCCAGTGTAGCATCCCATCTTAGCGTGCAACTCCAGGTCAATATGTGTTGTGCAGGAAATGCATTAAAAATTATCGGCAGTGTGAGACGACACATACAAGTTGTGTGCTGTACCTGAGCATTTAGACGGTGATGTTTCTCCCTTTTGAGTTTGCTAATGTTGCCAAAGCAAACACTGTGATTAAGGTTCATGTTTTAATTTCTATTAATGTTTTCTTTCACATACTTGTACCTTCCAAATAATGCATTTTAAAATAATATAGGAACAGGATGTTTAATATGCATAGCATTATGTCCTGTTTTAAACTTGTGTCTCTTTCCTTCCATTGTGTTCGTTTAATAACAACAACAATAATGACTTTTCCTAAAGATTTTAAGAAACAAGAGAACCTGAATTTTGAGTGTGTTTTAGCTTTTAATATTTGAAGCAAAGCCATCCATCTACCAAAACAGATTCTTTGCCTTTTATAGCTTAGAGCTGTAATGAAGACAATGCATCATTTTTGGAATAATTGCTTGAATTACTATTCCCTGTGAATGGCCCACTTGGGCTGATATCACTGGTAGAAATGGAAGGTTTCTTTCCCAATTCTTAGTGATATTTTGCATATATCAGTGATTGTAGCAATATGATAAGTTCCTCTAAATATAAAGCCTGAATATTTAATAAAAAGAGAAATGACGATGGAAATCAAGCCAGAGTCTATACATGGGAGGTATGGTGTGCTATTTGGAAAAGACTCACCTATTTACATATAACAGCCGTGCTCAGCCTTTCCAGTCAGGAGCATCAAACCGGTCTATTCCTTGCTACAGCAAAGCATTGGACACACTGACAGCTGACTCTCGGCCAGTCCGCATTAGGGACCTAGCCAAGGGAGAAGCATTCATCCTGATAGGTGGTAATAAATTGCAAAATCGTGACAGTATCACCGTTGCACCAGGATGATTCTCTGACCCTTCGTGAAAGATTGCTGATAGCCATAGCTTCTTCAAGAAACATTTGGCTCTTAGCAAAACTGGGTATACGGGCTTGTAGTACAGTAAACCAGTCGCTTCATTCTCCGGTGGATATACTTGCCACCGGTGATAGTTAGGATTAAATGAAACAAACCATATAGGATACTCAACACAGTGTTCAGTATGCACTCAGTTATTATTAGTGTGCTCACTTTATTATATTGATTCCTTCTTTACAATCCATGGCTAGGTAAAAATTGAATGCAGATAACATTTATGTCCTCTTTTTCCTTTCAAAACTTTTGCTTCGAGTAATAACAGTCAATATCTATCATGAGAAAATACCTGGATATTTCTTTTTTCTTTAGTGCATATATTTTCTTAGCCCAACTCTTTCTAGTTGCTCTTAAGCACATGGTGTTCTTCTAGAAGCTGTTTTAAAAAAAAAAATTCCTTATAAGCCTTCTTGGGGGTAATAAGTGAGAGTGAAAAATAGTTTGACCCCAAAACTAGTCACCTGGAATTTGAAAATAATTGATTTTATGCCTTAAATCTAAACCACATTATAAAATTAGATCTGAAGTATTGTATTGTCCCCCTTTCAAAGTTTGTGGAATTGTGCGGAAGCGGAAAGTAAATCCATAGCCATTGGGTTCCATCTTAAAATTTTCTTTAGTTCAATTGGATTTTCAGCGTGCCCTGTGCCTCTATTTAAGAAATGATCAGAAATGCTTATCAATACCCATTACTATTGGCTTAACATGGCTTTACTTTTGTCTACTTTAGTCGAAATGGATAGTCTTTCTGAACTATCCCAGCAAGGTGCCAATCACGTCAACTTTGGCCAGCAGCCTGTCCCAGGGAACACAGCTGAGCAGCCTCCGTCCCCCGCGCAGCTCTCCCATGGCAACCAGCCCTCTGTCCGGACCCCTCTACCGAACCTGCACCCTGGGCTTGTGTCAACGCCCATCAGTCCTCAATTGGTCAACCAGCAGCTGGTGATGGCTCAGCTGCTGAACCAGCAGTATGCAGTGAATAGACTTTTAGCCCAGCAGTCCTTAAACCAACAATACTTGAACCACCCTCCCCCTGTCAGTAGATCTATGAATAAGCCTTTGGAGCAACAGGTTTCAACCAACACAGAGGTGTCTTCCGAAATCTACCAGTGGGTACGTGATGAACTGAAACGAGCAGGAATCTCCCAGGCAGTATTTGCACGTGTGGCTTTTAACAGAACTCAGGTCAGTTTTGTTCTTTTTGGAATGCTTCTCTCTCTCTTTCTCTCTTCTTTCTTTGGTCCCAATTTTTTGCTAATGCTTATTCTTTTGCTCTGTGCTCTTATTTTTTTACTCTACGCTTACTCTTTTCAATTGTTCTTGTTGTGTGATCATATTGTCTGTTCTTGATGGTGCCTAAGTCTTATCACTCCTTTCCCTATCATAAACCTCCTCTACCAAGAGCTACGTACAGATTGATCTTGACTCAGGGGCTTTGAAAGAATAAATTCAATACTGAATATATTTCAAACTGGCATTACCTATGTTTTTACCTAATGAGGTCATAGACTGTTAGTAGTAGCAGGTTGAGAAAAGTTTCATGACTTGGTCAAGGCCATTGGTAAGACTCCAGGCTTCTAGCCTACTATCTTCCCCCTGTTATCCCCATATCAAGCATCAGTATATAAACATGCCCTGTTTAAGTTCCTCTACAACTTTCTGGAGAAAAAACAAGACAAAACATATTGTGAGACTCCATAGCAATTTCTGCCATTTAATTTGAACAGCCATTTGGGGGAAAAATATATGGGGTGTGTGTGTGTGTGTGTGTGTGTGTGTGTGTGTGTGTGTGTGTGTGTGTGTGTGTGTGTGTGTGTGTGTGTGTGTGTGTGGCTTATTAACATAAAATGTTTCTGAGCTTTGTCCTCTTCCCTCTTTACATTATTGTTAGTATTCCTTCAAACTTCATTCTTTAGATCAGAGATCAGCAAACCTTTCTGTAATTGTCCAGAAAGCAAATATTTCAGGCTTTGAGGGCCATCAGGGCCCTGTCAGGGTGTGGGTAGCATGGTCACAGCCAGGGACAATAGGTGAATGGATGCGGGTGTGGTGGTGTTTCAGTAAAACTGCCTATAAAACAGGCCCCCTGGGAGGTTTGGCCTGAAGGCCTTAGTTTGCTGTCTTTTCACTGAGACCTGCATATACCCCTGTGTTCACACCTTTGTCCTCCTGGGCAAATACCTGTGAGGATATTATCAGCACAGAGGATGTTTAGAGGGACCTGGAGAAAGAGTGATGTATGATATGAGAAGGCCGAAGATGAAAAGTCCTAAACCAATTCTATTAAATTGTAAATGAGAGGGTTTTTTAAAATTTTCTTTTTTTTGGAAATTAGTATGGTATATATGGTGTTTATTTTTGGCCCAGGCACACTAAAAAAAGACAAAAGAACATGTAACTTTGATTAGAAATGAGGACATTACGTCCTTTCAACTTCGTTGTTTTACCAGGGTTCTTTTCTTTTGTCAGGTTTTTTTTTGGACTGACTCATACTTTCCTTTCATATTTAAGTTATTTTGTTTATTACGTGATTATAAGAATAAGATTCTGGTATAAAAATAATCTAGTATTAATTACTTGCTGGCAGAGTTTCCCTACCTAGGAGAATCCCAGCAGTGACTTATTTTTGGCTTGCCTTAACTGGATTGAAAGTTAGGAGACCTGACAAAGCCTTTAACTCAGTGTTTGTTTTCATTTTCTTTATCTGTTTTTTTTTTTGTTTTGGGGGTTTTTTTGGTGTGTGTGTGTGTGTGTGTGTGTGTGTGTGTGTGTGTGTATCATTTGTCTTTTTTAAAGGGTACTTGCAGAGGGTAATTTCTCAGGTTAGTATGATTTTAACTAATTTTATATTTTTACCACTTAAAAATGTTAATTAGTGGCTGGTAAATTTCATGACATTTATATCAGTTGGGAAGTTATTATTTAAAAAATTAAATGAGTGAATGAATCAAAAGTCAGTCTTCTAGTTATCCTGTGTCTGGCAGCATTCTTTATTTTTGTAAATAGCAGTAACTGCTAGTATTTCTCAGTACTGGGCAAAAAATAGGTGTCTTCATAAATGATCAGTAAAATGTTTGTCAATTTAATTGAAAGCCCACAAAGACAACATTGACATAAACGCAAATGAAATACAGATTTGCTAAGAAGTGTTTTAAAAACTGAGCAAATTGTTATTTCTTAAAGCACTAAGGAATCTGCTTTAAGAAACAAGGAAATGAAATAAGAATGTATTTTATATGGTGAAGAATGACAAGGTCTTAAAGCACTAAGGAAAGTATTTTACATGGTGAAAAGTGACAAGAGAGTTTAGCTGAGGGATGTGTGAAGTCACTATCCATCTGTACGGTTTTTCTTCTCTTGGGTTATGATGTCATGCCGTTACTCTGAAGGGTTGACCATTTGTCCTGCCTTTGGTTCCCACATTGGCTAATTCCATGGATATCTCTAGGATTTGTTGCTGGAAAGAAGGCAGAATTCTCTCTTTATACCATAGTAATCTCTTTAAAAAGACAGTTATCTCTGTGGTTAAAACACCAAAAACAGTGACTTAATTTTTCTGAGGCTGGTAGGGGAATGAAAACAGTGACAGCCTCAGTACCAAGCTCTCTTTAGTAATAATAGCTAATTTAGAAAAAGTTACTACCATAAAAAATTATTTGGAGCCCCGGGTGATAGAGAGATTTGGTTTTAAACCTGTATATTGGTAATTGGTACGCCTGAGTCTAAGTGGATATTGGCCATATTTGAAGCTGTTTTACTTCAATAAGAGTAATTTTCTATGTATATTTAAGTGTTCACTTTTTGGGAACGAGCTTTTGAACATGCAAGCATGCGTGTGTTTTTGGTGGTCATACTTAAAAACCACACACGCGCGCACGCACACACACACAGCTGCATTTATTTTAATGATTATACATTCATATGAATGCATGTAGTGTGTTTATTTCGAAGTGTATGCATTTCAATAAAAGCAGGTGCAGAGTGAGAGTGTATGGTGTGAGTGTGGCGTACGAAAATACACATGCTAATGCATATGTATAGGCAAGGAGCTCTGCAGAGTTAAATCGCACATCACACATTTGCGTGCACTTACTACAATGTGCAATTCCAACTCCGAGTTTTAAAAAATTAACGTAAAATATGTACATGCAAAGGCAAAGTTATATGATATGATCGAATAAAGAAATTGGTACCCTATAAAGAGTATTTTAAAACATTAATATAATAGATAATGCTGTTATGAGTTGAGAGTATTTTAGTCATTGACAGTTCTGTGCAACTTTAAAATCCTGGATTTCATGTTTTAACTCTTCACTGGAGAATTTTCTCGTCATCCTAATTGGGTCTCCTAAAACCCCTCTCTTAAGACTTTCACACGTGACTATTAAAAAAAAAAAGTTTACCTTTTCTGAAAATTTATGGTGAAATTTATATAATTGTTCTAAGGACTTTTTCCCCTTCTAAATTGATGGGTATATGTGCTTTAATTGCTACCAAAGGTACCAGCTTTTAGCATATGTCATTCATTCAGTTATACCTACTTGATGTCTTCTTAGTGGAAACCTATGGCTAAAAATAATTGTCGAAGATTCTAGATTTATACTTTTCAGTTCACTTCCCTATATTATTGCTATTTAGGGATTGTGATAGAAGCAAATATATTTGTTCGTTAGTGCCTTTAAAAAATTAAAAAAAAAAAAAAATCCAGAATCTAACTCTGATCCCATTCTGTGGCTTTTTTTTTTTTTTTTTCCTTTTTTCTCCCCACACCCCTTTGGCACACTTTATTTTCCAGTAAAATAAAGAATGAAGATGGATTATTCAAAACTGATAACAGTAATGGACCATCATGTAATGTTTTATTGAATTTGAGTTCTGTAAATTATGTGGTGGAGAGAAATTTGCCTGCTTAAGTATAACAGAAATTGCTACTGTGTTCCTATAATTCTTCACAGTGTAATTTAAGGAAAGTCCACTATCCATATCACTATTGAATAAAAGGTAAAAAGGTGCTATTACCCCAACGTGACAGCTCTCGTTTAGCCTCCCAAGCGACAGAGATAAATGCGTCTGCTTATAACTTACTTGGCAGGCGTCCAAGGTAGTAGGTGGAGTTGAAAATAGTCTTTCACCTGGACATGTGATTAAAAATTCACAAAACAACAGAGGTAGGTAGTCTTGAAGAATATTCTACTTATTTTCTTTTTAGGGAGGGAGGTTTCATAAAATCCTGTTTTCCTTCTGAGGGCTTTGAAGTTCCATGAAGCTGATAAAATCTATTTGAATCAGTGATTATGTTCAAAGAGGAGACAAACGGGAGGCCAGACAGGCCTTTTGTTCAGATTGGCAGTCTCTTTCGCTTATCTGCTGTTTTAAAGAATTCATAATTAGCTTTTGGAAGTACTGATAATATTTATTGAAGGTTTTTTTCTTTCTTTTACAATTACTAATGAATTTTACTTGTAATAACTAGTAAACTCTTTTTGGAATGTAAAAAGGGTTTAGGAATTCATCACTAAGTTCACTAAGTGAAGAAAATTGGAATTCTCCCTTAACCCCTGTGCAATGACAATGCAGAATAATTTTCTGTTTTTATGTACAGAGCACATAGTGCATTATTTGATGATGTAAAGTCCCAATGAAAAGCAGCTTCTCATTTAATATAATAAAATTAATATTCATTAGTTGTTGGTAACTTACTACATAACATACAAATTCTCAAGTTCTTTTCGGAGGCAAGAATGACTGATGATTTTGTTTGACTTTGTTCAGTAAGTTCATTGAGCACCTATGATCCACAGTACATGTTTTAGTCCTGGTGTTTTAGTATAGTCTCTAAGATAGCAGGTAATGTACATGAAGAGCTTGACATATTATTTTTTTAGCATGAAGAAAAAATTTTGGTAATAGATCCCTCGTACTCTGCCCCATGGGGGATTGCTACAAATGACCTTGATCTAAGTCTGGACTATATTTTTGACTACGGGATATGGGAAACAGGGGCCATGTACATCTTGAGTCTGTAAATGCAACCACTCACATAACAACTTGAACGGGACCAGAACATGCATTCTCATATTCAGATTCTAAAGTCATTTTGCATACAGAATTATTCTCAAGTGACATGATTTTTTTTTTTTGTACTACCATTCTAATCAAAATATTTTCTAACAATATTTTCAAGCATTTCCACCAGGGGGCACTCCCCTCATTGAAAGCCTGGGCCAAAAAAAAAAAAAAAAAAAAAAAAAAAAAAATCCAAAGGTTTCTACAACACCTGACAGTGTCTACACTCACTGCTTTAGAGCTCTTTGAGTGTTCCAAGATTCAAAATATTGCTTTAGACCTTAGCATAGTGCAAGCAGAAAAACTGTACTTGCTGCAGTGGAATAATTAAGTGGAAATAAATGCTCTGCCCCTAAAATACTTTATATGTTCAACTGGGAAGTCATGCCAATATCAAAATATGGGAAGAGGAAATTTTAAATTCTCTCCCAAGTGATATGTTGTCTTCTACTTTAAGCACGCAGGATTGACTTAGTTTCATGTTAACATGACTTGATAGAGAATATTAATGTATTTTTTCATGTGTTTGCTTTTCTCACTATAGTTGTCTGCTATCTCAGAAAACATTTTTAATAGAGATGATACAATATTTTGTTACTTGAGATTTATAAATGTCTAATTTCAAGGTTCCCAAATACAGTAACATCCTAAATATCTGTAGGATCCTTTTGACCTAATCTGGTTTTTTTAAATTATTGAACAGTTAGTGTAGATGAACATCTTACGTAGCGCCATGTAACTTTTCATTGAAGGCTTACTTTGATTAAATTAGTAATTGCCACTAAAATTTGCCCATGAGTAGCATATCTTGTTCTTGAGTTTCTATCACTCATTTACAATTTTTTCCTTTTGTGGTCTGAATACACGTAATTAATCCACTTAGTAAATGTTTATTAAACACTCATGTGATAGGCATTGTGCTGGGATGACAAATAGGAATATTAGGTTATTATGCTCAAGGAAGTGAGAGCACTGTATTTGTCTATAATGTACCTTTCTATCTCTTGATTTCTGTGTGGTTCACATATATTGCTTTGCCAGGCACATTGTTTTAATACGTAACAGTTGGTGGGGAAAAGTAGAGACCCAGGACTATTTTTCACACCTATTTTCAAGCATTTTTTGAGACCTGTATTTTTTGGTTTCAGTGTGACACATCCAAAACAGTCAATCTAATTAGTTGGCCTTGTGCAAATTAAATAGCTGGATGATTGACTGCCTGTTTGACTAAATTTTAGTTAAATTGACTGGATGTTTTATTCCTGTATAAACACAGTTGCAGCATTACTTGTCAGTATTATGAATGAAGGGACATGCACCCTTCATTCTTCAGTCACATTTCTTACGGTAAAACAAAGTTTGGTTCCCCTTTCCAGACCAAGTGAGAGACTAAAATTTAGCAGTAAGCCCCCGAGCCTATTGGAGGCTCTTTTTAATAGCAGCCTGTTCAAATCATTTTTAAAGTGGACCATGGTTTTATACTCTCTGCATCCAAGTGTTCTATTTGGACAATGTGGTACCTTATCCCCGAAGAATTAGGAACAAAATTAGGTTTGCATTTGTAGGAAGCCATGAAAACACCCAAATGTTATCGTCTTTGGGCTCACTCGTTTTGATATGAAACTTTGCCTCCCCTTTCCCGAATGTACTCTTTTACCATTTCTGCAGGGCTGCTGGAAAGTGAAATTTACAGATTATATGGAGATCTTGGCAACATTTTATTTCAAACTGTACTGTGATAAACTGATACTCTGGCTAAACGTTGAAGGCAAACTGTGTCCTGGTATTCCAGGCATTATTTCATGCACAAGATAGAACAGGTTAAAGGCTGCTCAGTCCTTATCAAATGGACAGAAAATTTTTGTAATCATTCTATTTCATATAATTCTTTAAACAAAAATGAGGAAACTCATTCATTGTTGAAAAGCTTCTCCTAAAAATTAAAAAAAAAATTGGTTGACAATTCATGCTCTAGTATTTAGGGAGAGGGACACCTTAAAGGAGTTTACAATGGTTTGTAAATTTCTTCTATTACTAATAAAGACTTCTATTCCTTAAGAAATTCAGTAACTACAGAATTTGATAGTGTTCTTTTCCTGGGCATGTTATGATGGATTTTTGCAATGTAAATATGGGGTTACGTGTTTCAGATTTAATCAATGTTTTCTGAAGGTCAGAATTTCAACCTGTTACCCAGAGCATGACAGTATTTAGAATTTTTCGAGAGAGTCTGTATACTTTCCTTGAATGGTAAATACAAAGAATCACTTGTCATTGACTCTTAATTGAAGATTAAGGGATAACTTAAAGTACTGCCTGTGAAAACGTAGCATAAATCTTAGATGATGCTTTAGTAATACTCTTTTTCTAACAATTCATCTTCTGATACTCTCTTTGAAAGTTCTACTTCTCTAGTAGTAGCTTTGTATCTTTATGTATTGGGCTGTCAGCCTTCCACTGCCTTTGTCTAGGCAGCTTGAGAACTATACAGTTCAATGCTGTTGTATTATGAGCATTTCATTTATTCTTAACTTCGCTCGATCGTCTCTCTGTGAAAGATTTCATGGCAAGTTAAGCTACTCAAAGGAAGGAGACCAATTAGGCAGCTTCAGTTTGTGTTACACGTAAAGCAGATGCTTAATAAAATTAAGAATACAATTGAGGCTCTCTCCTCTTTACCACTTCAAATGTAACTAATACATTTCTATGTAGAATTGATGCTTCTGACTGTTCATTTTCTAAACAGAGTGGAGAAGGAGAGGGAAGGATCACCGCTGGCTGGGCAGAGCTCAGGAGCAAGCTCACCCTGTGCCTTTCATTCCCTGCAGGGCTTGCTTTCAGAAATCCTCCGAAAGGAAGAGGACCCCAAGACTGCATCCCAGTCTTTGCTGGTAAACCTTCGGGCTATGCAGAATTTCTTGCAGTTACCAGAAGCTGAAAGAGATCGAATTTACCAGGATGAAAGGGAAAGGAGCTTGAATGCTGCCTCGGCTATGGGTCCAGCCCCCCTGATAAGCACACCGCCCAGCCGCCCTCCCCAGGTGAAGTCTCCTGTGCTCTTTGCCCTTCTTCTTTTTCTTCTTCCTTCTCCTCCTCCTCCTCCTCCTCCTCCTCCTCCTTCCTCCTTCCTCCTCCTTCCTCCTCCTCCTTCTCTTTTTCCTCTTCTTTTTAATGTCTGAGGAAGAATCTCAACAAGAAATTGGAAAGATAGATGAATAGATACCAATTTTTCTAAATAATTCATAGAGTTGCTTGAGGAGAATTTGGTCCCAAATCAGTGATTCTGATATAAAAACAATAAGCTACTAATTAGAGGAAAGAAAATTGCTTTCTGTTGCTTCCTTTTGGGGGTTCTTTGGGGGTGAAAAGTAGTCTTTAAATGGGATGTTTGTCTCTACTACTATTATTAAGTAAAGAAATATTTTAAGCTCAATACGAGAAAAAGTAATAGTCCATTTTATCCCTCTGAGTTTTAGAACTGCCGTTTGAATAGTGAATAAATAAAAATAAATAAATAATTCCATTTGTATTTATGCTTTCCAATACGAACTGCAGCTGGTACCAATTACACATCATCTTGTTCGTAATCTTTCATAATTAAGTTTAATACAATCCTTGAAGGCAGCTTTAAATGGTGCTGATAAGGAACGCCATCCATATTCCCAGAAATGGGCACATTCTCTGTTTTTCTAAATTTTTTCACTTTTAGAAAAGACAAAAGTCACCATGCAGTTGGAAGTAGGGACCTGTATAGGGACCTGACTTTGTGTACATGTATCTATATTTATAGTTTTTAAATAGAGTTTTAAAGATAACCTTGTAATTATTATGAGAATTAAAGTTAAGTTGATTTGCAATACAAACTCGTAGATAAAAGTTTGAAATGGATTAGACTTCAAATCAATAGGCAAGTATATTTTTTACACATTTAATTTATAGCATGTGCAACTCTTAAAAATAAGGTCAGCTAAAGCTGGATCAAAACTGAATATGGGAGGCACCTGGGTGGCTCAGTCGGTTAAGCGTCCGACTTCAGCTCAGGTCACAATCTCACAGTTTGTGAGTTCGAGCCCCGCGTCGAGCCCTGTGCTGACAGCTCAGAGCCTGGAGCCTGCTTCGGATTCTGTGTCTCCCTCTCTCTCTGACCCTCCCCCCTCACACTCTGTCTCTGTCTGTCTCTCAAGAATAAATAAACATTAAAAAAAAATTTTTAAAAACTGAATATGGAACATAAAATATTCATATAAGGTCATCATGAAATTGTATTTTGATGTTAATTTCTTTCCATCAATAGTAAAAAAAAAAAATTCCCACCTTTCCAAGTATGGAAATATAGAAAAAGCTCATTCAACACTAAAAATGAAATTGCCACAGATAATAACTTCATCAGTAAAGAATAGACATAATATTCAGCCACTTGTTGAGGTCCTTAAGCTGTAGGTTGTAATGTTCTGAAATGAATCTTTTGTGGAAACATCCAGAGTTCGTTTTCTCCATTTTATGTAATAAAAATCATTCGGTCTTGATGTCTATAGGCACAGAGTGTAAGGAAGTCATTGCTGTAATTGTGAATAAGAAAGTCATGGGTCTCTAGCAGAGAATAATGATATTTATCTGCATGTATACATATCTACCTGTCTACACATACAGTTACTGAATTTGATCTGTAAAGCCTTCCTTAAAATATTTTTAAGAAAAAAAAATGCAGAATTCTTTATGTATATATGTGTATACATACATATATATGTATATATGTGTATACATACATATATATGTATATGTGTGTGTATATATATATGTGTGTGTGGTTTTTAGAGAGTGATTAAACAAAAAAATAATGTACTTTGGACTTGGTTTAACACTTAGTTTGTGGTGTTTAGAGTTAATGCACCATCGTTAGTTAACTTTGCTTCTATAATCGTCACAGAAGGCCTCTGGGCAAAGAGTTATTTTACTTATCACTTAATCTGCAATACTAACAAAAGAATTGCTTACTGAAGATCAGTATGAACTTCAGCATTAAGCTGTTTCTTTTTTCTTTTTTTTTTAATCTAAATATTTGACTTAGTAGTTCCTTAAGACAGTTTTGTTTTCTAATAAATCTGTGATTTTAATGCTTTTGTTTTTTCTAATGTGATTCTGCTATCCTTATTCATCAAGTTTTTCCTTTAGCCACATTCACATTAATTCTTAAGTGGTATTTCTTTTCATATACCATTAAGATACTCTTGGGTAGCTTTCTTATATATACGTCTAAAGACTATGTCTGCTGGTAAGTTGGGAAGAAAATATAATTTATTTTGGCCTGCATTATTGATTAACTAGTTGAGCCACCCTTAGCTTTATTTGTTTGTTCTCAAAAGGGGTTGAGACCAAGCCCATAGCGGGGATACCCAGCCAACGATGAACGTGTATGTAAAGTATGTAGATACCACAGACTCTTAGTGAAACTCTTTCAAAGGAAAACAGTTTCTGTTAATGCAGAATTACTAGCCCTCTAACCAAATTCCGAAATGATTATCAGATGTGTGTAATTTTAGTTCACTGCTATAATATACATCTTCAAGTATCTTAACTTGCCTAAGAATCCCTTTGCATGACTTAATATTATTTTAATAGAGCTCATAACCACTTTGTCCACCTTTTACCCTTTAACGATGACTTTCTGAATTAAATTTTAAGAACTCTTAAATGTATTAAAAGTATTATCAATGTGAAATGAGTACTTAAGGTTTGGAAAAATGTGTTCTCCAGCGGCGGAGTTAGTATAGTTTTGCAACAGTTGAAATGGAACCAATACACCATACTTAAGGTTTTAATATGTTTATTACAAGTGATTGAAATGGAAGGGGAAAAAAGGACAAAACCACAGATACAGAAACAAACTGCAGAATTTTATCTTTTTTAATTTTATATTTTTGACAAAGAGGAGTCTATCATCCCATTTCATTTCACCGTACAGGAAGAGATTCAAAACATATTTTGAGACAAGTCTTTGGCTTGGTTTGGAGCCGAACCCTGATTTCTTTCTAAAGTACTGCTTTTCAAAGGCAGAGGTCTCTTATGGCTCACAGGAGACCAGACTACCTTTAGTCCTGAGAGAGCTGGATTCTCTTCCAGCTCCTTCCCTGTAGAGTTGAGGTCATACAGAAGATGATTGAGGTTATATTTTTAAGAGAGAGAGAGAGAGAGCACGCAAGTAGGGGAGGGGAAGAGAGAGAGGGAGATACAGAATCTGAAGCAAGCTCCAAGGCTCTGAGCTATCAGCCCAGAGCCAGACACGGGGCTCAAACCCATGAACCGTGAGATCATGACCTAAGCCAAAGTCGGACACTTAACTGACTAAGCCACCATGGTGCCCCCATACAGAGGATGATTGAGATATCTTCCCAAGGTCATACCAGACTAAGGACCTAAACTATTGAGTAACTTGGATTCTAAATTATCTTTAAGAAGGCTCTTCCCTGGTTTTAGTCAGGCCCCAAGTTTTATTCCAAGGAGTACTTCCCTGGGAAAATCTAGGCCAACCTCAGATATCACCAGAGCTCTTGGCTGGCTGCTGCCTAGGTGAGATGCCCCTGGTGCAGACCTGTCCCTTGTGCCTCAGTAGGGGCAACTGTGCCATGGGCTCTGTCCTCTGTCGGCGGCAGTTGGCTCTGGGCCCAACCTACTTGCTGAAAGCCTATTTTCATAACTTACGTTTTCCAATTAAATAAGAGTACTTTGTACTTGATAATGGTTTCATAGTTCTCTAGCACCCTGATGCACGTTAGTTCATTGAATCCTCATTCCAACCTTTTGGTAGGAGAAAGAGGAAAAAAAAACAAAGTTAAGACTTTGTCAATTTTCACGACCCCTATTAAGTCTCTTGCTCTTTCTCCACACCTCAGGCCACCTCTTCAAAACGCAAACATTTTAGGAAGGGGAAAATGAAATGTGGGGACTTTTTCTGTTTGTCATAGAGGATGGGAAGTTTTATTTTTAGATTAGGAAGAGGAACACATGTGAGAACATTCTCCTGATACAATATGTTAAATGTTTGGCAAATGCTCTGCTTTTGAAGAGTTCAGACAGTTAGGCATTTCTGAAATTTTGGAGAGAGTAGCCCTTTCCAAACTTTGTTCGTATGAAAATGTCTGGGGGAACCCAAACCCTCCAAAGCTCCCTGGTCTTAAAGTTTCTTTTCTGATTATGGTTAGCAAATTTAACAAATGAGTTTGTAAGAGGACTTTGATTAATAATAATTAGTGATTATTTTCTGGGACTTGTCTGTTCCATGGAACAGATCAGTTTTAAGTTGATGATTTCTGTTTAGGTGTGTGCTTATTTGATTTTATTTGTGTGTTTCAATATGTGTGGCTTTTAGAGTTAGCAGTTTCTGTTTCCATAAGGACTATTTGAAAGCCTCTAATTACCAAGTTATAACTTATACATGAATTACACGATTATTTTTCTTATATTTTTACATCTCTTTATGTAATTCTTTAGTTTCTCCTGAAGAAAGATGGGATATTTTATAACGGCATTAGAAAATGTCGTAAGTTCCTATTAGCAATGTATAATTTACATAGTGGCTACACCCTTCCGTCTCTTTACAGCAAAGTCTTCTATTATGTAATGAAACATGGCTTCAGCCATGGGCACTCAGTTAACATTGGATAAAAGTTTTGTTATGAATCACGTGGGCAGCATGATTTTAAGATCTTATATGCTTATAAGATGCTTCCCATTAACAGTCATCTTTTAAAATAACTAGAGGACTTTATAACGTCCGGATTAGGAAAATAATTAATATTGTTCCTAAAAAGAACAGAAAGAAAAGTAGCATGAAAAGATAGGACCATGATATTCAAGACGGTGTTAATATATAAACATTTAAGAATGGGGACCATTTTCTGTCACTGGTAAAAGTACTTCAAAACAGCACTTTCCTTATATAACAATTCCAGGAAAACATCTGTAGTTTATATACCTTGACAAATAAATTCAGGTTGGATTACTCCGGGTAATAACTAAAGCAGATAAAGCCGTTAGCTAAAAATTAGACATTAATGAGCCTGACTCAGCAAAAGGCCACCAAAAAGCAGGTCCAGCATATCTTTAAAAAGTAAGAGTTTTTCCAAATAAAGAACTCTTGTATAACATCATGACCTCAGTATAGTGCAGTGGTTTCTAAAATAAGCATTAGCATTAGACAGACTTGAGTTTAGAGCTCATGTTGCCTTATGAATAAATCACTTCTTTGTTTTAGGAGAGTTTTCTCAATTTTCAACTGGGGCAATAATAGTACGTACTCGGGCCTGTTGTGCAGGTTAGAGCTAATGTACCTGAACGTGATGCCTAGCATATTAGAAACAACTAATAACTGCCAGCCTTTGTTATTACCATAGTTACTGTTAAAACTACGACCAACTTTAATTGTGTGTGTGTGTGTGTGTGTGTGTGTGCGCGCGCGCACACGTGTGCACTAGGTGCTTGCAGGCAGTCCCTCCTCCATCAACGAATCGTACATACACTGATCAGGACCACAGTAGAGTTCGTTTTGAGTAGTATGTATGAGGTAGGTGGCATGTATATAGTACCCAGAGTTCGTTTGCCCGCAGGATTCGATGCATTCAGCGATCCATGGAGAAACAAAATAGAGTTTTCCTGGAAAACTTGCGTTCTCCTGCACAGATTTTAGTGAAATATAAAGCAGACCCCCGTGCTTGCACCCTGAGCTCACTTGGGAGGGTATAATCGTAGAAGCTCCGATTCTCAACTGCTTCCCCGGCGCCGCGGTAATGAGGGAATAGCACACCCTACCTTGATAAAAGCTATTCGGAAAGCAACTGCATTTATTTTACCTCCTGTGCTATTTGCGGAGAAGAGCTGAAGAGTAGTTTGTTTTGCCTGGAATGAACTACTTTATGAATTTTAATGTGTGATATAATATTAAAAGCTAAACCAGGATTAACGAAGATTTTTTTTGTACTAAGCTAAAATAGTACTTAGTAGAGTGAGGTAGAAAAGATTTTCGTTTCCATTTTTACCTGGGGAAAAATTCAGCTTTCATATTTTTGAAAAGCTGTCCAAGTCCGTTCCCCTTAAGCAATAGCTTGTGCTTAGGAAAAAATGTGATTCCAGAATTCTAATAGCTTATCTATGATAAGATACATATCTGAGCCAACAAGATGATAAAGAAAAGCTTTTCTAAATATTTTTTTAAATGAGTGATAGAGTTTCTTTATATTTAAAAAAAAATTGTTGCTCTAATTTTTTTTTTTCAGTTTTAAGGGTTTCGTCTGTACGCCTTTTCCACTTTTGATTGTGTTGCCTGCTAGGAAGCAGTTACTTGATTTTTTTTTTTAATGATTTGAAATTCTTGCTTTTTGGTTCCAGTTGAAATTGCTTTATTAAAAAAAATTAAACAGAAGAAATTTTTAGAAACCAGATCACAGGGTTGAAACAAATGATTATAGCCCACCTCAAAGATAAATTCTTAAACATAGTTTTTACAAAAGAATGACAATTATTTTAAAAACAAACTGAAACAAGTTTCCAAAGCCTGCTTCCTTAACTATTGCTAAGCAGATTGCTACCAAGGAACTTTCTTCCAATGTACTGGACTTCATGCCCCCATTTCCATAACATTCAATTTTCAAAGCGATTGAAATGGCTTTTCTTTTCTCTTTCATTTAAGCAGTGAGAAAAATAGGTATTAAAAGAGACCCCATGGGGTGATCAAATCTATCCTTCTGCCTCAAAGCAAGACCACCCCAGAGCAAAGTTGCGAATCTCACCAAAGCAACTTTGTAGGCAATTTATGGTAATGCTTTAACTCTTCTGGCTCCTAAAGTGGTATTTAGCAGATTATTGCTTCAAAGCCCCGTGTATGTTCTTAGTGGCCTCCAGTCGTTAATATACCTCCGAGAGTGCCCTTGCATTCTGGAGCCATAGAGCTGGAAGGGGCATTCTGGAAATCACGCTTCCACGCTCGCCATTCCCATCTCCAGCTTATAGGTTAGTCGTGGCAAATGAGGTCTAACCAGTTGGTGACTTACCCTGCCTTACTCTCTGTGTCCTCACTTGGGCCTGTGGCCCACCCATTTCACAGCATCATCCTTTCAGTGCCTAGAAGGGTAGTGTCCAAGTGGAAGAATCTCGCTGCCTCCTCAAGTTAAGCAAGTTAAGGGTGTTATTTTGCTAACTGGCTAGAAGTTAGGAGGCATGTTTTAAAGACTTCTATTTCCTCTCAAGTGCAGAGGATTGAATTGCTTTAGGATAACCTCTGCATATCTTTTGATAACCAAATATTAACGGCGATTCTGAAAGATTTGCAGCGTGATTAAAAGGATGTATCATTTCGTGACCAAAAAAAAAAAAAAAAATCATTCATTCTGGAATGGACTTCATTTTCTGTTGCTCATTGTATATGTGAGGAATTGTCCAAGATGATAACGGAAACCTGGGCTCTGGAAGGGATCCTAAGAAATGTGGCCCTTAGTGAGTCATTTTGCTGGGAGAAGCAGGGTCCTGCATCTGTGGTGACTTCATTTACATTTACATTTCCTGGTAAAAAAGCAACGACATCGTTTATATGTAAAAATTTCCAGGCTGATTCACATGACGGCATAATAAAAATTAAATTAGGAGTTTTAAAAATTAATAATAGTTATCAATAAATTTTGAGGTTGAGATTTTATTTTTACCCCCAAATTTTGTGTCATTTTCCTGCTGATACCTGCTTATTGTTATTACCAAAGGCATTGATGCTAATTTTTCACTCAAGATTATTTATTTTGAATGTATTTATAAAGTCACCAATTCTATAATATGTGTAACTTGTAGTAATGTTCTGTTAAATATTGTGAAACATTTTCTTATTGTCTGGTTCCACAAGTCAAAAGGAAATAGTTACATACTGGGGTGCCAGGAGAAGGATGAAATAATTATGCAGAACAGCTCGGACACGCACGTGTAAAATGCAACCAGCCTTTATGATAATTAAACAAGGCACTCTACCTGTTTCATGGATGGATAGAAGATTTAAATATGCAGCTTTGCAAATGGCTTTGTTATGGAAGATTTTAAAAACGAAACATAAGAGGAACGGGCATTGAAAAAAAAGAGTCTAAAATTAAAAAGGCCATAGTATGTGATAGCTATTAGTGATGCAATTGTCTATTAGGCACCGGGCACCCAGTGAAGGTACAGCACTGGGCATTATGATTTTAACTGTGAATTTCCTTTGTTAGAATTGCAATGGACAGTAATTGGGAAACAATTAGTTTAGGGTTTTCAAGTCTTTGAAACTATTCTGTTTTCCAGAAAACTTACTTTATGATGCTCTAATTCCTGTTTGTCAGCTGGCAATTGCTGTCTTATTACCGATGCAATCACCTGTGACAATGTGACTTTCTTAACTTAAGCAATCTGATCTCGGGGTAATAACTAATGTTGAATGACTGCACTGTTGATCACCTTGATCGTAAAAGGAACAACAGTGTCCAGTTTGGATGCCGAGCCTGAAAAGCTTCAAAACAATTTGGCCAATGAAAAATGACAGTCATGTTGAAAATGTTTTGTAGGTGAAAACAGCTACGATTGCCACTGAGAGGAATGGGAAACCAGAGAACAATACCATGAACATTAATGCTTCCATTTATGATGAGATTCAGCAGGAAATGAAGCGCGCTAAAGTGTCCCAAGCACTGTTTGCAAAGGTTGCCGCAACCAAAAGCCAGGTAAGAGCCTCTGTTAGGCACTGAGAATGTTGATCCGCGATGCCTGTGAAAATTTCTTTCAGAGAGGTGTCTGTTTTCAGTATTGACCCTACTGAATTGACCCTATCGCAGTACTGACCCTATTGCATCCGTGAGAGGTCAGAGTCTCCAGGATTATTGACAGAGCTCTGTGATGAAAAAAATATGTTGTTCAGACTCAGGCAGTAGATAAGTGGTTCTGTTTCCTCCCAACACCTACTCTCCAGACCAAGGATTTCTCGGTAACTTTCTGGGGTCAGTTAATAGTTGTTTTCAGAAGGATATTGTAATGTAGAGGCAATTTCTCAATGTGGTCTATTGTACTGGTGCAAGTAACTTGAATTACTATTGTTTCGTTATTACTTAGATGACCTTGATCTCCATCCTAAGATACTGCAAACATAATAGTTTCTTCTGTTCCAACTCAGCCATCTGCATCTATTAGGTGCACTCACTAAAACAAACTAGCTCGCCCACCAAACAAAACTTTGCACATTAATGACCCTCATTTTTCCATAGATACATGATATGTAAGACGTACAGACTGAATTGCAACTAGAAACACTGTCCAAGTCTGGTAAATTAGAAATGAATAGAAATGAATTGGAAAAGTTACAAGTCCCCACTAAACAAGATGAATACGTAACAAAGGACAGAAAAGGCAGTCCTTTATCAGTATAATTTTCATATATTGATAATTTGTGCCCATCAAAAGCAGGGTCATCCATAGGAACAAACTTATAATTACTTCTAAACCTTTGTTCAAAGCCACAAATACTTTTTAAAGGACCAAAAGAATACTGAACTGTCTTCTCCTTTACAAAATATTTGGTAACAAGATCAAGGTGGGGATTTAGAAGCAGTCAAGGGCTCAGGTGAGATTTTAACAACTTGCAATTTTAGACAGACACGTTTTCCCTATCATTAGTGAACTCTCCTTTGTAAAACGGCCTTCTTTGCTGCTGTCAACTTCTGATGAAAAATATACAATTCTGAGAGTACTTGCACTGGATTGACTATACCATGCTTTTTTTTTTTTTTTTTTTTTTTTTTTTTTTTTTTTTTTTTTAGCTCTTCCTAAAATTTTTCTCTATCAGCATTAATCGTGGTACTTGATAGGAGTTTTGCTTTAGAAAAGGTTGTTCTTATTTAAGTTATAGACTGGTTGAAATACTTAAGGGATATCTTGGAAATGTTATATAAAAATGATTAAACTCAAGCTGTGGACTGTAAAAATTATAGCTTTATAGGCCACATGCCTGCCTACCCTTCAATCACTGTCAAAGTGATAATTTCTACAATAATATGTTTCTTTTATTGTGAGATTCTAAACATCAAGTGCTGTTTAAACATTAAACTGAATTGTTTATGTTAGTGCTGTACTCAGCGTGTCATACATCAGGCCACCGTAATCTCTCATGGAATGTAAAATTCTGTCATGAATCATGGCTTGTATATCGGAAATTACTGTAATTTTGATTGGAAATTACAGGGCTCTTGAAATGTTTCTAATTATGATAGAATGTTAGAGCCGCTTCAAACCTGTGTGCTTCTTCAGATGTCTTCATTTACATGCCAAGACTATGCATTAAGGAGAAATGTCCTGTTCTCCCTTTACCCCTTACCCACCCACCCTGCACGTTCTTGTTTGGGCTATTTAGTCTAATTATGATGAGGGTCTCGTATTCAGACGTATATTATCTTGCCTTTCTTTCTGATCCTACATCTTTTCTGACCTGTCCAATTAAATTAGCAAGAACAACAGACTGGATCCCTATAGAGCCCCTTTCTCCACTCCCCAAAATAGATAAACAGCGAAACTAGGTGTGTATTATTGTAATATATGGGGTCAGCCTTAAAACATACAAAATACTAGAACTTTTTGATAACTGTCGTTTCCTTGCTTGTCATCTGTCCTTGAATTCAGTGGCATTTCCTCCCTTCCCATTTCCTTTCCGAAACGCAGAGCTCCTTTGGGGTTGGCAGTCCCTTTGCTACCTTCATCCTTTCTTTCTCTTAAATGATGTCTCCACATCTGCCCAACTGGGCTGAGTTACTGATGTGGGAACTCTTTAGACAGGGGCGGCAGTTGGTTGGTAACGTCGTGTGAGTGCTGTTCTGGCGAGTGTTTTAAACATCCCAGCTCTCTGCCCCTGTCCTAAGAAGCTCCTCGTGAGTCTCTTTCAGCAAGTGTCGATTGACAGCTTCTGGGCCTCTGCCAGGACGGTGTGTTTCCCAGAACCCCTTAACCTGATCCCCTCATTACTGAAGAAGGAAGAATCCAGGGAGGCGGTTGTTGGCTGTGGGGTCCAGCATAGTGTTAACTTTCAATCTCTCGGATAGTTATTCTTCCTAACTTCTACTCTCCTCTAACTTCCCAACAGAGGATTTTTGTAGTTTTCTCTTTGTTGGTCAGTTTAGGTGTTAGCACTGCCCTCATTATGAAACTATGTAGAAAGATTTGCGATTCCTTAAAAATAAGCAGTCCAAAAACTGTGTATATATACCACTTGGAAAAGTGTGACTTAACAAGGGAAGTAGTCACTATTTAAGTTCTGTTCTGCCATGATTTTTGTGAAGGAAATGGAAAAACCAGCAAATAACCCCGCCCCCCCCGCTGAAATCTTCAAACTAGATTGACCTTCTCGTGGTCAAAATTTTAACCTCTAAAAGAGCGATTTACTTCTTGGATGTATGTGTCAAGGCTTGTCAGAGTGTGGCAGAGGTCCCTGAAAATGACGTGTGTGTAAAAAGGGAAGAACAGAAGTCTTTTATCTCAGCCCGTCTCACTCCATCTGCTTCTGGTTCTCTGGGCTAGCTTACCTTCCAGCACCGTCTTTGTACTTAGACTCCACTGTGCGTTACGAATGACCTACATTTAATTCTCAGAGTAACCTTTTGAGCTGGGCTTGTTTTCCTCATTTTATACGCGAGAGTCACCGGACTCATAAATAGTAGAGCCAATCCTAATTTCTTGATTCTCTGCATCTGGCCTCCTATTTTAGAATTTCCTTGGGGTTCTAGGTAGCCTCAGTCCTGAAGTGATACCCTGCTCCAGGAAAGAGGAATTAGGGGTGTTGGACTAATTTGATCGAGGGAACGGTGAGAACTTTCCTTTCTTCATTGACGTTTCCATGGAATACGGGTTCTTACCAGAATAGGGTCCTTGGAATCCAGGCTTTTTCATGTCCCATTGTGCTAGGGGGAGATCCATGGGGGGGATCCCCAAAGTAGGCTATGGTCCTGTCTGTATCACTGGTGTTATAATATTGAAAAATTATTTAACCTTTTTGAGCCCAAGATTCTTTTAACATGGGAGAAGGTCACACGCTACAATAGATGCAGAAGAGCTTCTAAATTATACAGCACTCTGCACAAATGGATAATGTCTTATAATGTGCTACCCAAGGGGCTCAGACCTCTACACAGAGTGACTTCTTATTATCTGTGTATGTATCTGAAATACTTTCCATTTTAAACTAAAAGGTAAAGCTTTAGGTAGCTGGGAGGCAGTGTAATTATTTGAAAGTTTCCACGGTCCCAGAATGTTACGAAACCACACGTATCACAGTTGGGCTATGTACTGACTAATGCACAAAGTATTTTCAGTAAAAGAAACCAACTCTGTGGATTCCACCATTTCACATGTATTACATGATCTCTTCTTTTCGATGAGTAATAGAAATGGGATTGTTTTTAACTCTAATAGAAATGTCTGAATAAAATATGCAAGTAAAAACTGAAGGTAGGCTACTTTCTGTGCTTGGGTAGGAAAGCAGGCTAATGCAAACTTTAAAAAGATGATATGCTTTAAACATAATGTGAATAGCTCCAAATGAATACACTTTATATTCTGGGTATTCAAATAAGCAGCAGTTTTTCCAAGTGAATCATATTGGAATTTTATCAAACATTTAGTCTGATAACATTCAAATAATTATGAGAGCAGAATTTGCTAATTTTACTGTTTAAAAAAAAATAGTTGATTTGGGTAATAACCATTACGGTAGCAAGGTTCAGTTACTGTTCATTGGTTATAGTGTTTTCATATGGGAGATGGAAATGGAATTTTTTCCTTAATGGTGGCAGATGTTGGAATCTAATTTTATTCCACAGCAAACCCCCTGAGAGCTCTGAGACTTAAGGTGTATGTCCAGCAAGGGGACATTAGCGGCACCATAGGCCTTGCCTTGTACATCGAATTGTTACATTGATTTTCGTGTCTGCAGAGGTGGGGCTTCCAGATACAGTAATACAGGAGTACAGGGCTTTTATGGGCCGGTGCTGCATCGCCACTTTTGTTTAGAAAATGATTTCTCTCCGGTGCTTTATTGAACAGGGTATTTCTTTTAGGTAGAGCGACGGGATGATGAAAATTCTATCTGACTGAACATGACTGAGTATAATTTTTGGCACTCCCTACCCACCAGTCCCGTACAGTTACAGGACTCTTTGCCTGCTACTGATAACAGCTAGTTGATAGGTATGGTTTTAGTGCTCAAAGAAGAAAAAAAGAAAAAAAGTGGTTCTTTGCTTCTGCAAAAGACAGCACGACCAGTGGAAGAGACCAAATAATTTAAAGCCTTTTGCTTTCTTCCATTCACTTTTCCGACACTTTTGTCACCGAGGTTCAAAGCCTTTAGTGAGGGGAGCGAAGGGAGGGGGGAGTGGAAGAAAGAAGGAAGCTTTCGTGCATCTTTGTGGCCTTTGGGTTTGAAATTCTTAGATGGTGATTAGAATGTCTTAGATACAAGTACGAAGACATACCACGGATCAGTGGGGCTAGAAATGGGGCAAAAAAATGTAATTTTCATTGCCAGGGATAGGAATGCATAGTGACAAAATCCGGGGGGAAAAAAACCACAGAACCATGATTGCATACTGTATTCCAGCATGTTAGTGAAGGCATCTTTTATTTTGTCAGAATTAAATTATACTTCACGGAAACTATACTTTGAAGCTCAGTGCTGATTCATTCTTTT